ATTGAGCGTCACATTATAACCCCTCATTACCAACGAATAGTGAGATTGACCATCACATTATAACGCATCCACGGTTGAAAGGGCGAACCCGCGACCCGTAGATTGCGAGTCGAACGTCCTAACCATCTGACCATGCCAGACCCAGTATAGAAAATATTAATATTTAGAAAACAGCCTCATGAGTTTCTATATGTTCAGTTGAATTACATGTTATACAGGTTTAATTTTTGTTCCTTCATGTAGCACTCTTACCCTGGGTGATGCTTTGTTTCGTATTTTTATATAGAATACATATTTCTCGTGTGGAGCTCAATGACCTTAAGCTTCCATAGAAACCGTTACTATGAAACTTATATCGGGGGTAATTATTAGAGGTGCGTATCTCATCATGGTAGTCGATACGATACGTATCTAGATACAGAAGTTTTACCAACGGTTTGTTACAAAGTTTAACAGTTTTGTCTGTAATTTATTATCTATGTTACTAACATTGTCTTATTTAAATACTTTACCTTTTTTTTTTTTCAAATTCTCGGGTTGGATCAACTAAATGGCAGCTGGCAAGAGAAGTTAATACCTGTCTATCTATTTTGTTATTGTTAATTTGTTATGTTACTTTACATGTAATGTTTTTGATAAAAGAAATGAAGACAACATGTAGTACTCAATACTCATCTTCCTTTACTGAATCATTAATTTGTTGCAAAAATACTTTATTAGAAATTCTGATTTTTTCTGTACAAAAGACTTGTAATGTTTACTGAAAACTTGCCAAATTTCTTGAAGTTACATAAATCGTATCTTAACAGACGACGTATCGACACAATCGTATCGCTGTATCGTCACAATCTTAATTAATTGTGGTTAATTAGAATTATGTTTTTCGCAGAATCATGATCACGAGACGGCTCTACATTCGGCTGCCCAGTACGGTCACAATGACGTAGTGACTCTGTTGCTTCAAGTAAGTCGTATCTGTATATTAGTCTCTTCTCGCCATTGGTTCGCGTTAAGTTTAATGACCTGCTTTTTAAAAAAATAATAATGAAAAAAAAAGTTTGAATAACCCGAGGGCATTATGTGGTAACGAGACAAAACGTAAATCCATCCAAATACTGAAAAAAAGTTTGAATAACCCGAGGGCATTATGTGGTAACGAGACAAAACGTAAATCTATCCAAATACTGAAAAAAGTTTGAATAACCCGAGGGCATTATGTGGTACCGAGACAAAACGTAAATCTATCCAAATACTGAAAAAAG